CCGCCAAGGACCGAGGGATGTGCATCCCGAGCATGCGGCGGCCCCATCCAGGCGCGACATTCGAAAGAGGATGAGCCGGGCGACCCCTATAGTCGTATGTACAAAAACATACGGGCAGTCATGAACACTGGGGGCGCACCAAGAGGAGACCCAGGAAGCGCGAGAGAGGCGCACAGGGGCGTGAAAGGCCCCTTCCTTCGCACAATGCCCAGAGGCCGGGGTCCTCAGTATGCGTTCCGCCCCCCCGCGGGCGCTTCTCGGCATTCCATGGACATCGTCCCTGGCCGCGGGGGTTGACGCATTCCAGGTGCCCGGCGCCGAGCCACAACGGTGGAAGAGTCTGGAAGAGCACTGGCCAGCCCGACCGTGTGGCGGGGGGGGGGGGCCAACCAACCGAGGCGCGACCGAGCGAGGCCTGACCGGCCCAAGCACATGTTGTTGGTGCCAACAACAACAACAGCAGCAACAGCGGCAGCAGCAGCAGCAGCAGCAGCAGCAGCAGAAACACAAGTACCGCGGGAGCATCCTTATCTCAGACTGGCTCTCCCCTCAACCCCCGAAGCCCGAAGCCGGGCTGGGGGCCCGGAAACGGCTCCAGCCTACGGGGCCGGCAGTCCTCGTCGTCCTGCACGCCCGACCCTATTCTCGCTCGGCAGGACGCCCACGCCGGCGGGTGCGCGCGAGACCGCACAAAAGCCCTGCCCAGGGAGCTCTCGAACGCCGGCCGAGCTGGCTGCAGACAAGCAAGGGGATCCCCCCGGTGGCCAGGCCCCGGGCAACGGCAGCCCCCAAAAAATGGCCCTGCCGTCGTAAAAAGGGGTCGTCTCTGAAACGCCCCCCCCCCCCCCCGAAGAGGGCAGGGCTAAAACTCGAGAGCACTACCCCCTCCTGCCTCCGGCAGGCCCTAGGTCACCCATTGAACATCCCCTGGGGCTCATACGAGCGAGCGGGGGTAGGTGGCGAATTCAAAACAACAGGCCATACGAAGGTCTCCCCTGTACAAGAACAGGTATGCACACACAGACACAGACACAGACACAGACACAGACACACACTGCCCCATCCCACAGGCGCCTCCAATTACAAGGTCTCCCGCCTCCGGTTGGGCGCGGGCTCTAGCGAAAAATAAAAGAAGTAACGAGCCGGGGCCGCCTGCCCAATTGTCCCGGATCTAGGATGCGTGGGTGCCTCCTCCAGGCTGGTGGTCAGGCCGGGGCAGGCTTTAGCTTTCTCCTTAACTAGATGTCCGTGTGACCTCTCGACGCGTGGGTTAACTCTCTCTCGAGTCTCGCAGCTGGCTGCCAGATAATCGACACTGAAGGGGGGAGCGACCGAGAGAGAGGGAGAGAGGGAGAGACGTGCACACATTGACTGAGAGATAAAACCACACGCAAGAAAGCGACTGCGTCGGCATGCGCCCAAACGCCCGGAGGGTCCCTTCACACCGGTTGCAGGCCAGAAGGGCAGGGACGCAGGTTGGCGATGGCGACGCGCTAGGTCCCGCGAGAAGTGGAGGAGACTGGGGGGGGAAGGGGGGAGATGTCCAGGAAAAGAAGGAAATATATATATACAAATAGACACAAGAACAAGGGTCCCAGCAAAGGGAGCAGGAGGGGGAAGGGGGCGGTGCACTTCCGCCGGAGGGAGGATACAAGGAAACCAGGGGGGACAGGGGGCGCGGACACCAGAGCTCTCTATGCCCGCGGTGGATGATAGACAAATGTGTCATCCTCATCGCTGTCCAGTGGCGGTGGCGGCGGTGTGGAGGCGGCCCCAGAGGCGGAAGGCCGCAAGAAAGATGGACCGCGCCCGGCCGAGCCCGGCGAGAAGGAGAAGGCCCCAGTGGCCAGGCCAGTGGAATGGTGCCGGCCCGCGGCACCGGACGGCCCATAGTCGTCCTCCTCGTCGTCCTCCTCCTCCTCTTCCTCGTCATCCTCGCTGATGCCTCCATTCTCCCCGACCGGCGAGCGGAGATCACCATAACGCGGCTGGCCAAACAGCCCACCCCCCGCAGAGGGACCACCAGCCCCGGGCCTCGAACGCATGGTCTCCGCCCGGTGCAGTGGCCGCCGGGAGGAAGAAGACGGCCCGGTCAACGAGGAGGAAGATGACTCACCGGGATCGGCCGAGAAGTTCGTGACAGCCGGGGCCGGCCCCGATCCGGCGCCCAGCCCCGGGCTCTTGGGATCCGTGTCCCAAACGCTGCGCCGGCCACGGCTGCCATACGAGGCACTCCGGTGCAGGGATCCGCTCGATCCGAGGGGATCATCGCCAACCCCCACCACGCCGCCGGTCGTACGGACGCCGAGCCCCGGCGACCGAAGCAACTGCTGGCCCCGGTGCTGAGACTGCTCCGGGTCATCGTCGTCATCCTCCTCGTCGTCCTCCTCGTCATCCTCCTCGTCAAGGTCCAAAAGCTCCCCCTCATCCAGGGTCGACAGATGCCCATCGGCAGGGTCCAGCAGCGGCCCAGGTCGGTCACCGATCGAATCCAAACCGCGGTAGCTTTCGGCGATGGAGTACATGCTCGGGGCACGCGGGGGGAAGGGCCGCTCGGAGGGTCCGACGCCGCCGAGGCTCAGCGTATCACTGCCTCCCAGCCCGGGCGAGTCGAAGCCGCCACCACCGCCGCCACCGCTGACGATGCCGGCGCCGCCTCCGCCAGAGTGCCCGCCCGGGTGCCGGTGACTGGCCGACCGAGTGAGGAGCACCGGCGAAATGACCGACAGCGGCTGCTTTGTCGGCGAGCCGGGCCGTGGCGATGCCAAATCCACCAGCTCCCCGGAAGACAGGGAGGAATCTTGACCGCCTCGCTGATGGTGGTGGTGAAGCTGGTGCATGTGCAACAGCGCGCCGCTCGCCGATTGCGAGGGGGTTTGCAGCAGCCCGGAGGAGGACCCAGCCCCGACGGGCCCCGACCCGCCCGAGAGGAGCAAGGGATCGACACTGGCACCGGCCCCGCTTCCCAGCAGGTGGTCACTGGCCTCCAGGTCGCCGCCCTCCAGGCGCTCGAGAAACTCGATGCGCTGGAGTTTACGCTGGCGCTGTAGCATGTCTGGTCGCTCGCCTCCGAAGGGGGCCGACTGCAGATCAATGTTGTACTCCTGTGTTTCGGTGACCAGCTGTCGAACATGCACCATTGCCGTGAATATACAGGGGACCTGTGATGTGCGTCAGTACATGTGTGTGGGTGGGCGAGTGGACGTGTGCGAAGGAGACGTGCAGGATGACAAGCATAGGGAGCCAACTGTGGGGAGGGGGGCAAAGAGAGAGAGAGAGAGAGAGAGAGAGAGAGCGAGAGAGAGAGGGAGGGAGGCAGTGTGGCCGCCAGCCGACTGGACGCACCAGGACAACAATCGGCAGTACGGCCCCAAACATGATGATCAATAGGATCTGGCTGGATCGGGCCTTTGAACAGTACTCTTTGACCGTGGCCACGAAGGTGGAGTACGTCATGCCGGCGTCATTCAGGTCATTCATGTCCACCCACTGGTCCAACGGGATGCCGATCGTGGTGACGGACTTGAGAATGCCAATCAGGTCCTCGAGAAGGCCGGCATCCGGAGCACTCGAAAAGAGGGCCACGCTGGTGCCAGCATGATGGAGGGCCAGCCCGGGCGCACTGTCAGCAGAAGGGCCACCGTGGCGATCTATCCCCGGCCAGTTGGCCAGATCCAGATCCACCGACGCGCCAGGCGTCGATGGAATCTGCGGCCTGGGCAGATCGGCCAGCAAAATCCCCGCGCCGGTGCCGCTGCTGGCGCTTTCGCCGCCATGAGGCACCCCCAGCATCGTTCCATTGATCCAACAGTTGACGGTCCCCTGGTTGAGGGGGGCCTGCACGGCCACCGGCAGCGAGATGTTGATGATCAACACCTGGAAGTAGAGGATGAAAATCGACAACATCAGGACAATCAATGTACCGATGTACTGGGAGGGGAACAAAGAGGGAGACAGAAGGGGAGGGGGGGGGAGGGAGGTAAGCGCGCGGCTGGGGTTACTTTTCGGGCGTCTCGTCTGGGAGGCGGGGAGGGAGGAGGCAGTGAGAGGCCAAGCGTACCACACGAATGAACACCACCCGACGGAGCTTGATGCCGACGATGCCGAGGATAACCATGCAGAAACTGACAGCCACCACAAAAAGCCTGTTGCCCGGGGGCATCGGGTCAAGAGAGGAGATAGACGGAAACAAATCGCAGAGAATGACACTATGTCAGCGGGGGAGGGGGAGGGGGGGGGGGGGGACGACACAACCAGAGAGACCGGAACTGGGGAGAGGGAGAGGCAAAGGGAAGAGCAGACGCACAAGATCAAAATCCATGGTAGAGTGGACTGGTGATAGAGGATGGAATTCGGGTGGAGCAGAGAGATGATCCACACCTCGTAGGAAATCAGGATCGGCAACAGCAGGACCATGGTGCCCATGCTGATGAGCCGCCAATTCAAGCCAGCCAGATGTGTTGAGAGACCCATGGTTGCGGTTGGCGTGCCGGGCGGGGACTGCCCGCCTTCTTACCAATGGAACGCCGGGGCGTGTGGGCGTGAACCAGGGCGCAACCGGGGGGAGGAGGGGGGGGGG